ACTCAGGACCTTTTGCTTGTGAGGCAGGTGGTGGAACCACTGAGCTAAATCCCCGGCCCTCAAGACACATTTTTTGAAGGACACAATTCCATCTATAATAACAGGTAAATGTTATTTTTATAATCATATATTTTAATGTACATCAATACAATGTAATTTGCACATTAGAAAATGACTTCACTGATACAATACTATTGCCTAGGCTCACTAAAGGCTTAAATTAAAAGAAATGAATCAGTTGAAAGACATATCTTGAGTAAACAGCTCTACAGAAGTTACTCAGACATAGTGAAACTTGTAAAGTTGGAGTATTGATAACTGGAATTCTTTGGGCTGGACCCAATATTTCTCTTTAGGTAGGGTGATGTCTTCAGGGGAAACTAAAGCTGATAACTGAGTATCTTATTTAAAAGCTTCCCCAAAGAGGTTTTACAATCCCACCCCCCAACACACTCAGACACTGGGCTACAAATCACATTTCCTGAAAGTTCCTCCTTATGTTTAGGTCCAGTCCCTCTTGCTTTAATTTAAAAGATGACTTTTAGGGCGTTAGCTCAGTGGTATAGTGCTTGACTGACATGCACTAAGCCTGGGTTCCCTCCTTATCACCCCCAACACACACACACACACACACGTGGGTGGTGGGGAGAACGACAGACAGACTGCTGGATATACACTCTTTATGCAATTCAAAAATCATTAAACCATCCCACATACAGATAGATAAATTGTAGTTATGCACAACTTGAAGTAGCTTAAGAACTTAACTTATCATATTTATGATCTAAATCCACTGAAGTTGATCAAGACAAAGGAGCAAATCTGCATTTGGAGAGAGAACCACACTCTCTAGGCAGCTTTATGGCTGAGTGGAGAATGAACACCAGATGGGGCCAGCAGACCTGGAATCATCCAGAATAAATATCCTCAGAGGACGGAGCCTCCACACACAGATGCCCAGAAAACAACAGGGCTGGCAGGTCATTTCCTCCTGGAGCTCTACAAAATCCCTTCTCAACTGAAATCCTCTCACCCAGCAGAGGATCCATCCCAGCCTACATCTGAGGCCACTTAACTGCCACGGGAAATATCAGCTAAACAGCAGGGTAAACAAGAGTCTTTTAGGCACTTCTACAACCCCCACGTCTATCCAAGAGACTAATGACGCCAGTTATAAATCATTAAATCTCCCTTCTAAAAGAGAGAGATGGGGAAAGGTGGATAATCTGCTTTTTGTACAATCATAAGAGCACAGAGAGGCAAACATACTATTGGCATGCGCATTGAAATCTGCCACATGTTCAGGATTTGGTGTCTTAGAAACTTTCAGGAAGGACAGGCTGAGGTCTCTTTTTCACCATTGTTAATCTGTTTGTGGACTGTGGTTTCCTCAGCTACTGTGCATAAAGCCTGCCCTTTTGAGGAAGCAAAAGAACACTCCAGAACAGTTCAAGCCCATTTGAGCCTCAGGGAACACACATTGTATATGAATGGGAACTGGGCCCCAGTCTCCTTACTGGGGGAACAGAGCCCCAGGACACTGAGTCTGGAACGTGTAGACTCTTCCTTCCCTCCATGGAGACCAAGAGGTAGCTGATGGGCTTGGGGCTTCCACGACCCCTAATGGGACCACCCATTCCTGCTGTAGTCTTGGAGGGCTGAGGTGTGGGGTGCACCAGGGAACCTCCAAAGAGGAAAGCAGAGAGAAGGGGGCCAAGAAGGAGTCAGCAAGAGCCGGAGAGAGAGAAAGAGAAAGCCCCAGAGCAGGAAGAACTGCAGAGAGAAGGGGAAGAGGCTGCATGAAGAGAACCACAGGCACTCCTGACCAAGCCTCGGTTCTCCCCGTATTTAGGGCACAGACTTCCCTGCTCACAGCTACGGGAGCTCAGACTGTTGATTTCATTAAAAAAAATTAAACTGGCACTTGGCTCACATGCTTTAACCAAATGAAGCTCTGGAAAGCAATAATACCACCCATCCTCTGCAAAATTACTCTCACATAATACCTATTCACCAATAATCATCCCATAATTCAGTCTATTTTTCCCCCTCTCTAAACAGGTGCCCCCCACCAACACCTTATTTCCCTCATCGGTCACAATGTCCCGGTTGAGGGAGCAGCTGCACAGACAGAACCCTTTCTACAGTTACTGCCACCTTCCCCCAGGGCTGGCAGCCACAGCCATTGCTTTTCTTAGAATTGATGGCCTGACCCTTAGAGCTCTGCTCAGTCCAGCTACCCCTCCACCCTCCCAGGCTCTGGTCAGCATCCTGGGAGTCCAGGGGAAGGCCTGGCTCAGCTGCTAATGAGGCGGCAACACCCCAGGTCCTAGTGCAAAAGCGCACAATAGAAAAAGCAGGAATGCAGCTGGCAGGTTCCAAGCACTGGGTGATAAGCACCACCCCGTTCTTAGCCCGGTGTCACCACCAGACAGCACAGCCTGGGAGTTGTGGTTCACAGACCATGTGGCTGGAGGGGGAGCAGCAGAAAGGGGCAGGGCCGGGGAAGGGCTGGGAGGAAGCAGCAGGTGCCTTGGAGCTGCACTCTTCCGCTCAGCCCAGGCGCAGTGGCCTGGGTCCTACCTTGTGCTGAGTCCCTGCCACCAGGTAGCCTTGCCACGCTTCTCTGGGGACTGCAGCTTCTCAGCATGTGCGTGGTGCTGTGAGAGGTGGAGGCACCTTCTGCAGTGGCCCTCGAAGAGACTTCTTGTGGCAGAAACCAGGCTTCCTCCCTCCCTCCTGCAGCCTTCACTGAGGCTCTGGTAGAGGTTGTAGATTTTCTGTTCTCAGCTCAGTCCCGCCCCTTGTTCTTGCAGATAAGCACCTCAGTTTTCCCTTAGGGCTCTCTGTGGCCTCTTGGCCCAGCCTTCCTGGTTCAAAGGGCACCAGGCCACACCACCTGTGAGGCTGAGCGTTTCATTTGCTTCAATTACATTTTCCATTAACTTGGGCTCTGGCTGGTATAGATTTTCTTTTTAAGCTTGTCTCTGTGGCTCAGATCACTCAACCCTTAGGATCAACCTTGACTCCCCTCTGGCCCATTTAAGTACATTTCTATTTTTTCTTCCCTAATGAGATGCCCAGAAACCAATCATAATTTTAATGCCTGCCATCTGAACTTCTTTAATCCTTCTGGATGGTTCTGGTTTCCTTAAGACTGTTTTAAGCTGTGGGTTGAGTTTTTCACCTTGGGAAATGTGGACCAAAGACAATTTTGACCAAAGTTAGTCATTTGGAATAATGACTGTCTTTTCAGTGTCAGGAAAAGAGCAGACTCTGCAGCCACCTTCCATTTGAGCTTTCAGCTTTGCCCAGCCTCTACCCCAGGGCTTGTGGGAACTCCCACGGGGTGGGGGAAGGGGAAGGTAGGTGGGATCCCCCCCAGTCATGGCTCTGTTTCCTCAACAGTCCCCACACTTTTTGTGATTTATAAACTTTGGGAAAGTTAAAAATGATTCTAAATCATAAAAATATTGGCATCCTTGGAATAGAGGACACCTGGTCAGTTTTAGCTCTGAATGAACATCCTGACTGAGGAAGGCTCACAGTACTTTCGAGGACAGAAGTCACCTCTTACTAATGGGACATACCTTGTGAGATCCCCATCAGGTGCCCGAAACCATGGATAGTGCCACGTCCTGTGTTTTTCCTATCCATACATACCTATGATAAAGTTTCATTTATGAATTAGGCACAGTGAGAAATTAAAAAGAATAACTAATAAAAATAGAACAATTATAACAATACACTGTAATAAAAGTATGGGACTGTGGCCTTGCCCCCTTTCTCTCTTTTTATCTCTCCAAATTCCTTATTGTCCTGTGCTTAGTCCCTGTGGTGCTGTGAGAGAATACGACGCCTGTGTGATGAGATGAAGTGAGGTGCATAACATAGGCACCGTGATGTACCATAGGCTACTAGGTAGGGCTCACTTGAACGCAGCACTGCAATACCCAACAATTGATCTGATTAACTCAGATGGCTACTAACAGGCAGGTGGTATATACTGCATGGGTGTACTGGACACAGGGATGAGTCACAGCTAGGACAGAATGGGATGGTGTAAGATTTCACCATCCTACTCAGAATGGCGTGCAATTTTAAACTTTTGAATTACATATTTCTGGGATGTTCCTTTCAATATTTTCAGATTATTTCAGGTAACTAAACCACGGGAAGTGAAAGAATAGGTAAGAGAGGACTACTGAATTGCTAACTCTGGTGAGCCTGCCATGTTGTGAGATATTCTCTGGTTAGGCCCACCTGTCAAGGAATCAACATCTCACAGAAAACTGAATCCTGCTAATGCCCATAGGAAGCTGGGAAGTAGATCCTTCCCTGCTTGAGCTTTGAGAGGCTTACAGACTTGTGAGGCCCAGAGCCAAGCTTCTCCTGCACCACTGACCCACAGAAACTGTGAGGAAATAATGTTATTTTGAGGGTAATTTGTTACACAGCAATAATTAACTAATACACATGAGAAAAGGGAATTTGTTTCATTTCTCTTGACTCTGCACATTCAGATTGGAAGTTGTAATCATTAATTCTACAGCAACTAGAATGTCTCCACTATAGATTCAATTCTATAGGTTCAACTTTCTGCCTGGAAGTTTATATTTTCTTTTTCTCTCAGCAAATGGTTTAATGCTTATGTATGACATTCAGAAATCATTCACTAATAGGAGAGTTTATGAAGTTGATCTTAGATACCTATTGGTTTCCTGAGCCGCTTCCATTCCTCTTAGCATGACTTGCCATTTTAACCCTATTTCTGAAGCATGGTCAACAGATCATGATATGGACAACTTGCAGATATTACCTTAGGACCCACCACAGGAGCTCAACATATTGGTCTAGCGGAACAACCTGAAGAGGTTGATGGAGCCTCCAATACAACTGCTTTGGCCTCTGAAGGTTTTGGAATGTCTGGATCTCACATCCTGGGTCACTTGGTTTCTACCAGTCCTCATGGTTTTTGTGTTCTGATGTAATAATCAGAGAACTGGGTTACCATCCCCTGGGGTTTACTAAGGCACCTGGCCCATCCCTTGGATCTGCTCTTCAACCAGAGGCAGAGCTCTTGGGTCAGGTCCACTAGAGACACAGAAGGCCCTCTGTAAGGACCCGGGCTCAAATGGTTGGCAGAGGCCAGGATCCTTGAGCATCATTGCCAGCTTATGCAGCTTATGGAGAATTGAAGGGTGGGGGATAACAGGGAGGACAGTTAGCCTTATGGAACAATGCAGATTTCCAGTAGATTTTTCTTAATTTCAGGAGAGGCATGAAATAGAGGTGAGAGGTATCTTTCAGGGAATTACAAAGTTATCCTTGAAAGAAAAAAAAACACAAAAAAACAAGCTCTTTCACTCCTCTACAATCTTTCATAGAAGGAGCTCTCTCAAACAGTAGAAAGCCTCCTGGGGATTTACCATACGAGGCAGTTAAAATGGACTGTCAATTTGATTGGATTGGGAGCTGCTGGAGATTAGTAAAGTACACTTCTTGGTGTATCTGGGTGGTTCTGGAGGCATGACCTTGTGTACTATGCTGGTACCTAGCCCTTTCCTCTCTGACACTGTTCTCCTGCTCTGCTTCCTGATCTCCATGATGTTCCTGACTTGGAGATGGCTGACCATGGACTGAAACTTCTGAAATTGTAAGCCAAAACAAATTTTCTTCCTTGGTTCCATTGTCAGGTATTGTATCCCAGCAACGAAAAGCTGACTGATACATCATTGTTACCATTCTATTCCTCAATTCATGGGTGTTGGCACCTTTAATCCACAAAATGACTTTACTTATGATGTTGGAGAAGAAGGGTATCATCTTCATTTTGTTTTATTTGAATGTAGATGCTTTCTATTAAAATATTGTGAGGGTAGCCAATATGATTCAATATCATACTATTTATCCTATATTTCAAGTGCCTTGAGCAACTTAAACAACCTAATTGGAACACGCACCCATTCATTCATTTAACCACTGCTTACTGAACAATGACTGGGCTTAAAAGAGAACCTAAGTCTTAAAATGGACATTATTGAAGGCTATTTTAAATTCTACAAAGCCCAGGCTTTTCTCTAGAGGTCCTTTTCAAAAAGAGAGAAAGACAGACATCATAATTGAATGAAAGATACTTCTGAAAATATAATAGATGGCTTTTCCCAAATGAGCTTATCTTAGCACACAGGGAGAGCTGGGGTTGGAAACCCTCCACAGGCCACACTCCTTGTTCCATGCTGTAAGCTCTGGCTGGGCTTCCATTGGCCCTGAGTGTCATGAAGGCCTAGAGTTTGCTGAACCTCTTTAACTGTCCATCAAGACCTACAAGGGTTCTTAAGCCCGAGCTTGCCAGTAACAATTTATTCTCCTTCCAAATGATCCCCTTTCCATTGCTTAGGTGGAGATCCATCAGCTCATTGTTCACAAAACCCATGGCTGTGACAGAATGAACATAGCTCTGCAATGTGCTGATCCTGCAGGCTGTACTGGGGGAAAAATACAGCTGTGAGAAAATTCAGAGTAACGTGCCTCCCTTCATTATTTTCTTTTTTCAGGGGATGGGTTCTAGTAACCCCAAACTTTTCGTTGTGGTAGAATCTGCATAAGATTTACCACCTTAACAAATTTTTACAATCTGTCACACCATTGATTAAGTGAAAATAACAATACGAATCTACTTTATCCAAAAGCCCATCTTTACCATTTGTAAGTGTACCATTTAGTGGTATTAAGTATGTTCATAAAGTTGTGCAGCCACTCCCACTATCTAGTTCTATAACCCTTTTCATCTTATAAACCTGAAATTCTATACTCATCAATCAATAATTTCCCTTTGTTCTTTTCTGCTATCATTTCGTATATTATTTAAAATACTGTACCAGGTCAAACTATGGTCAAACTATGTAGTAGATCAAACTATGCCTAATGTGGAGCAGGGTTTTGGAGGGACGAGAAGGCTCTTCTGGTGGCTGGAATGATGGTCTTTGCCCATCGCATAGACAGATAGCACCCAGCACTGACGTCATAAGAGCACAAGGACAAAGATAAAACATCCTGTGGGGCAAAGGTAGAAAACACAGAAGAATCTTTGAAGAGAGTTGACATATGTGGAGTGAAGATTTCATCTGAATTTTGTTAAAGAGGGGCTGAGGTTTGTTTTCTTCTTTTACGCCTTCACTAGATGTGACACAGGGGCATCACAAACTGCTTATGAACAGCTGCTTTGTGTAGTCAGCCTTCTGAGGTGGGAAACAGGGGTGCCCCTGCTGCTACCATCAGTGTTGGGTAACAGCATATTGAGGGGGGTGGACTTGGAGGAAAAGCCAAGGATCAAGGGTAAGAAGTCCTGAGCTCAGCCTCTTCCTGTGCTGCCTTTCCATGTGGCTCTGAGCAAGTGGCCTGGTCTCCATGTGCCTTACAATGTCACGAATAGGGGAGCTCAATACATGTCCCCAACTGGGAAAATGGATGGGCTTCTGTTATGAGACATGTAGCACTTGACATACCTTATTTCTTTCTAGAAAGAAATGGCCTTGTGGAGAGATAGACATTCTCTGCATAGTCCTTCTCTGTAGTACCAGCATGTTAGACAACTGTGTCACTGAACAAGAGAGCAGATTTGCTTTCTAAATGCAGGGTATGAGGCTCAGCTGTCATGCAGTGCACTGTGAGGGGCTGTTACTGCAATAGTTCTCAGGTGCCGGCTCAGAAACTACCAGCCAGGGAACAGAGGAGCAAGCCTGGAGAGTACAGGACACTTCCGTCTCCCAATCCCGGCCCACCATCTGTGCATCAACGAAGCCACTCAGCAGAAAGTAAACAGTTTGTTTCCATCCTGCTAAAGCTTCAAAAGGCAGGAAACTAGCTACTCAATTAGGTCTTGTAGAAGAGTTCAACTACCACATTTGTGGTTTCCAAAGAAGATTTTCTGCTCTCAGTGAGCAGGTTGTTCTGTAGCGTTACACAGATGTCAAGTCAGTAATGTCCCTGCGTACTCCTCTGTGTCAGTCTTGGCTGGGGACAGCATGCCCGTGGGTGCATATAGAGAGGAAATGAGCTCTGCACCCAGAGTCCCACAATCTAAGGCAAAATCAAATGCCAGCATGGACATGGAAACAAGGTCTAGAAAGAATAGATGGGCTTATTTTCAGAGTTGGAGAAGATGAAAGGGTATCAGAGTCCCTGCAGGTGTTTGCCAGGCCACACCAAGAAATTTGTCTTTTGCCCTCCCCCTGATCCACAGATCTCTTTCTCATCTGGATTTATGCTTGTGTTACCCTGACCCTACTACTCACATCCCTCTCTTCTCTAGCCCATGGGACACCTCCATTGGACTTCAGATCATCTTCAGTGGCAACGTTTGTACAAAAGAGGAAGCACCTTAACACAGATAGACTGAAGACCTGAAATGAATTTCCCTATGTGAGCCAGACTGCCAGGCCACACTGTCACCAAGTGTGACCTCAACTGGTGGCTCCTGTTAGAAATTCAAGCTCCCACCAACTCCCCCTTGCCCAGCCTTCTGAACCAGAATTTGGATTTCAGCAAGATGCTGATACTCAGGTGGTTCCCAAGCACATTAAAGTTTGCAAGCACCCACTAAAAGAGACTGCAACTTTCCTTAACACTCAAAGCTAAGATAACATTTCCCCCAGGGCCGTCTCATGACCCTTGACCAGTATGTCCAAATCCACCTTTCTTCTCCATTCTCCTACTGCACCCAGAAGGCTGCTTACTTCCTAAAACACACACAAGCCACACTGGATGTCAGTTAACAGAATTAGAGGCAAAGGACTGCAGTTCCTGGTCTCAAGCCAAGAAGGCCCACCTCTGGGCAGCTGGGTGGTCCTGAAGCCTGACTGTCCCTGGACATAGGAAGATCTTTTGCAGAAGGAATTTAGACTTGAAATTTCTGAGGTAGAGATTTGGAAGAAGCCCTCCCTCTGTCCAAGGAAGAGATCTTCTTCTAAGGGAGGCCACTTTGTCTTGATGTCCTTGTCTCCACCTCTGGAGGCCCTTGCTGGGGCTCTTACAGCACCTGTTCCTCCTGCTTCCTGGGGCTGTCCTCTGTCACCTCTAGTCCATGACCATTAGCCCGAAAGGGACAAGAGAGAACATCTTGCTCCCACTTCTCCAAGGCCCTAACAGGTGGACATGTGGACACATTTATCACTAGTAATGGGAAAACCACTAACCCCTCCCACCCAGGCAGCCCCTTCTATGAATGGCTTTGACCTTTCAGAGCTCTGTAGCCTGTCAATGTCACCTGCCTCAGGAGGGGACTATCTTCTGAGTGCTCCATCTGGTTATTTCACTGCCCACTCCTCCCCAGGAGAGAGTGTTTCTTGAACCCACCTCTCAAACTTCAATGTGTCTTCACAAGGTCTAGGGATCTGCTGTTAAAAGCCTTGAAGGGCCTTTGAATTCTGCCTTCTTCAGGTGAGGACAATGCCCCTGACCAGACTGAGTGGCAAGAACTTCAGTTTAATTACATTTAACTTCTAATTTCTTAGTCTCAGTTCTGCTCTTCAGTCCTAAACAACAAATCTACATGATCTCTGTCATACTGGAACAGGGAATCACATCTTTCCCAAATCTTCCTTTTATTGTTCCACAATTCTTATTCCCAATTCTTTTGATAGTTGTCTTAGTTCCATTTCCCTATCATGGGATTAACTGTCTTCAGAAAATGTGTTCTGTGTGCGGACAAACCCTCCCAGTGTGTGGCACAAAGGCTAGGATGGTCCAGCGTGGACTGAATGCCTTGGGGCAAAGCAAGGCCTGGGCACTGTTCTGGTTTAAAGGATTGGCGACCTCACAGTCTTATTTAGTGACAATATGGCCCTCTGGATGGTGCAGAGCTGAACATAGAACAGATTTCCATCCTTGCCCTTGTATGTGCCTTTCTTGTCACAATGCTGAGAAAGTAGATTGTCAAGAGCCACTCTACATAATTTTGGGGAAAAAATCATTTCACAATTAAATTATGATTAGGGCTGTCTGAGGCCTCAATGGTCCTTTGATGTTGAGATGCTCAAGGGCAAGATTACAACAGCTGAAGACATCTTGATTCTTTAAGAACTTATAGTAATTCAAAAAGAGAAAGGTTTCACCTGGGAAGGGGCACCTTCCTTACCAGCTTACTTCATCCCACCGACTGCTGTAAGAACCTTTTGCTCATCTCACCATCCTAATCAACATAAGCTCCTCAACGACCTCAGATACTCATCAGCGTAAGATCCTCAGTGTCATAGGATTACCACCACCCTCTGAGCCATCTGATACTCCCTATGAACCCAATAAGTAGTGGCAAGCTCAAAGTGTCTTTGTCTTTGCTCACTCTGAGGCACTGACCTCCCAGCCCCCTGCACACTTGAAATTATGCAAGTCTCTGTTGTCTGTTTTTCTTGAGGCCTCACCACCCCCCTTTCTAGGCAGTCAGAGGAATGATAAACCTCCAATAGTAGATGATAAACAAATTCATCCTCTACCATAACAATGTTGCCCTTTGTGACAAGGTGAGCCTAAGGAGACAATGTCTTCCTGTAAAGGCCAATTCCCTAGAGTGGCATCTTAAGGCTCATGGCAGACTGGTGGGCATACAGGGACAAGGGGATTGCTCAGTCCCTACCATGCCCTCACTGCTTCCTTCATCCTTCCTGGCTCCCTGACAAGTGAAGCACACAGCACTAGGTCTGAAATACACAGAGTGTGAGGAGCCACTGCCACCATTTTGGTTGATTTGGAGCAATTTATATTTGCAAAGTAGTCATGGCCTGAACAAGTGTCATAGGCAACTAAGATCATTACCTCCCAGCTTCCTGTGCTGTCTAGGAAGGAAACCTGCTCTCAGCTGAACACACAAGCTTTGAGGAAGGCTGTCATCCTCTGGGACAAAATGTTTAAATGAACAGATTTTAGCTTTGGTTTTGGCTGAGGCTGCAAGATAATAGATGGCACTTGTCAGAGTGAAGTGTAAGACCACCATGCAGGTGGAAAGCAGTTTTACACTACCCACATCTAGCCTGCAGACAAGATTGTAGGGGCTGAGAAGCCAGTTAATCAAAAGACAAAATGTGGAGAGAACTGTCCAGGTTGTTCCCAGTGGTTTCAAAGTGGCCCCTTGAGTCCCCTGGAGCTTGGGAGAGACAATGGATTATTGTTTGGATTTCATAGGAAATCTAAAAGAATGCAGTTGGCTGGCAGATCAAAGGAGAGGTGCCTGTAGGGCTCAGAATCTGTAGGGTCAGACAGTGTGTGAGTGTTTCTCAAGGACCACATGTGGGCCATTAGAAGAGAACCCTACAATAGGATTGTCTTAGTCATTTCCACAGGACAGTCTGGAGGGACAAAAGAGCTTCAGCAGAAAGAAGCTAGAGTTGATCCCCAGAGCCTTTGGACTATGGAAGGAACTGTAAGTGAGCATCCAGAGAAGAGTTGCATTTGTCCACAACCAGGAAGTGCAGGTGAGAGATGGTAGGGTTACCAAAGAACTCACAGAAGAGGCAGCAGAATGAGGAATCAGTTTAAAAACACTTGCAGGAAGCAGGAAGCAACTCACAACAGGATCTATTCAGTTATAACTTGCCCACCTCCTGCCTCTCCTTCTTCCCCCACAATAAGGTGAAGAGTTCTGAAAGCAAAATGAGGTAGGCAGGGGAGGGCCAAAAACACGAGTTTGGATAGGGAGCCAACCAGTGGCCCAAAGCAAGCCTGAGCTGGGGATGGACTGTAAGGTCGTTGCACCTTTGCGTGGAATTAAAAGTTCAACTATCACCCTGACCTCTTGACTAGTCAACATTTTATAACAGGAAAAGAACCAGAAAAACTACAAGATTAATCCTAAATTTTAACCAGTCAGGAAAGAATTCCTTCTACAGGACTACATTTACAGGACAATGGAAGATATCAATTCTGTGGCTTTATGGTCACTTCCATGGGTCATTGGATCGTTGTAACAGGGAGACAAGGGTTTGAGAAGTGAAATCACATCATTCTGCTATTCTCATTGCAAGATTCAGCAGAAAATAAATTTTTTAAAAAATATGTTTTAAGTCAGCGATGGTTTAGAGAGGTGAGATTCATAAACCATCAGAACCAGAAGAAATTTCTATACCAACACCTCTAACTTCTCATTGAACATAGGAAAAGTAGGCCCAGAGAGATAAGAAGACTTTTCCAATTCACACATAGAGAAATGAAGAAAAATATCTATGTCTATGGCAGCTGCTCACATCACCCATGTTCAGTTAGGTGCTTTTCTTTGCAAAGGCCAAGTTTCTTCCTGTTTCCTGGGTCCCAGAGAGATGAAAGCAAAATTGTAGGCAAGGTTCTTGATAGTATCCAAGAAAATCTATACTAAGGATCTAAATTTAGATCCTTCCCTGCTGTCTTCCTGGGCATGAGATACAGCCACTCTTAATAAATATTAAGTGTCTTTGTGTCACATGCTCTAAACCTGTCTGTGAACACAAACCTGCAGATCTAACTGTTTCTCATTATCTCTCACAGTCATCTATTCCTCAGACACTTTCCTAAGCTCAGGCATTTGTCTTATGCAAGATGGAGCCTCCACACAGTGCCTGGAACAGAATAAGTATCGACAAACATTTGCAGAATAACAGAATGGTTCAGTTCTAGTTTGGTTGCCTCTGTGCTTTCCATAGATCAACAACACTGCTTTCAAAGAAAGATACAAGGTAAACATATCTGCTCTTCCTTGAGATTCATATTCAGCTCTTTGCAAATCTGCAACCCAGGGCTGCTCAGTGAGGAGGGAGCACCTCCCACGGACATGGAGCCCCTGCTGCAGACCACACTGTGGTAAGTGTGCCCAGGTGGCCCTGCTGCCCACCCCCTGGCCCCTTTTCCGTCCTAAAAAAGGAGTTCAACCCTTGGGTCACTTTCCATACTGGGACAAGAGAAATTCCAGCTCTCACCAGAACACATATTTCATACATGGCCCAAATTCCTACAAGCATAGAGATTTTATTACACCATTTCTTCACACTCCCAGCCAAGACCAACTTCATTTATTCTTTAGCTCTAGATTCTTTGGATTTCTTAGTTGCTTAGTCTCCTAGTCCTTCAACTACTCAAAATATACTCAGAGTTTCAATGACAGTAGAGTGAAAACCACTCCTAGATGTGATATGATCTTGTTGTCTGAATGCTGACCACATAGTGCTCAAAGAGTGTCAGCTCCCAATAGCAGGAGAGACTACTTCCCACTGCCACCTGGGGTGGGGACATGCAGAGAGGCAGTCACCAGCCTCCCGGGACTCCTCAGCAGCCACCTCACATCCCAGCCTGAAGTGAGGGCCGGCAGGCAAGGGGAAGCTGGACAAGGCCTACCTGACTCCATTCTTCCTTCCTCTCTCTCTGGGCCCTTCTCAGAGGCACTGGGGGTCCCACGGAAGGGCTGGTGGCTGAAGAGGTCATCACACAGAAGGCTGCGGCATAGTTTGGCCAGGAAGCGGAGGACGTAGCCAATGCTGTTCACCACGGGCAGGCTCCGAAGGTGCTGTTTTCCATCAAAGGACGCAGACACTGGAGAGCCAGAAACAGTGGTTCTGCCAATCAGTCGGCCCCAGCAAGGGGGTTTCAGCTGTCAAGTAAGCTGTGTTTGGATTTCACCTGTTATCTAAGGTCCCATTTGTGTTGCAGGGTCCCATCTGGGATGCCATATTGCATTTAGATGTCATGTTCCCTTCCTTGTCTCTTTGGACTCTGGCAGTTTCTCAGCCTTTCCTAATCTTTCATTAGCTTGACAGCTTTGAAAAATCCTGCTCAGAAATTGTGTAAGATGCCCCTCAGTTTGGTCTGTTCAATGTTTTCCTCATGTTTAGATTGGGTTATGGTGTTTTCGGACAACAGAGGTGAAGTGTCCTTTGCCCCAGTCAAATCAGGGACACACGATATTCATATGGCACGACTGGGGGTGCTAACCTCTGTCACCTGGTCAAGGCCACCTTCCTCTGCTGGATTCCCTATTCCAGTGGTGGGGAACCTATGGCACATGTGCTGCAGCAGGCTGTTTATATCACTGGGAGCTCTAAAAGCTTCACCATCACTGCTCTAGTCTGTTTCTTGGGAACAATTCAAGAAGTCCAGCCGGGCATGATAGTGCATGCCTACTTGGGAGGCCGAGGCAGGAGGATCACCATAATTTCAAGGCCAGTCTGGGCTACATAGTGAAACCCTGTCTCAAAAAAAAATTTCTTCCCACACTAGGAGGGAGAATTCTACATGTCACCTGGAATTCTACTGTAGGAAAAAGTTGTCCCAGGGCTTCTCCCCCATTTATTTATTCAGTCATTTATTAATTTCAGGACAGCCTCAATGTATTTATTCTGTGCTGTGCTGTGGGTTACCCTTATGATTCTGTGCCAGGGATTTCACCTTGGGAGCTCCTCCAGGATGACTCTGGTGCCCCTAGGACAGGCTCTCCCCTTTATCTAGCACCTCTTTGGTTTCAGGACCTCAACACACTCCCGGTTGATATTGTACTTTCCTTGCTCTGGCTCTAGAAGCAGCCATTTCTCCTGTGGCCCCCCCAATCCTCCATCTCTGTGAAAAGGCAGCTCTCACTTGGTGGCAGACCTCAAGGTGGCGGCACAAGGAGTCAGCTCAGATCTGTGCCCTTCTCCAAGATGCGGAGAGAGTGCTCCACCCTGGCCTTCCCAGGAGTTCCCTCAGCCAAGGGAAACTTAACCTCAAGTGGGAGGCTCTGTCCACTTTGGTCTTGCTCTTCCCCAGTGCCAAGGCTCTGAGGTCACAACAAAGCCTGACCAGGAAAGCAAGAGCAGAGTCGCCTCTCCAACTTACACAGCACAGTCACACGGGGCCCACTCAGGGTGGATACAGAGTGAGGAGGAGCCCTCTCAGCACCAGGTCTGTGCCCTGAGCCCCAGTGCAGCAAGGAAACCCAAGGCGTTCCACCTCAGAGGGTTGCCTATGATCCAGAACCTGGTTTCTAGAAAGAAATCAGGAGAGGAATAGTAAGCAGCTCTCAGAGGGGCTGACACAGAACTCTCTTCCTGCTCCCTCAGCTCCTTCGTCCTCCTGCTTCTGCTGTTAAAAATCACACTGGGTCAGAGACACACACCTCAAACCTGCCCAGGTCTGTTCTAATCAGTCACCAGCAAGTCAGACTCTAGGCCTGGCAGAGCCTGCTAGGTTCCTGCAGGACCAACTCTACAAGGTGAGCCTTCTCCATCAGAGCTAGGAAGCGGCGAGCAATACCCTCCCCATACCCAGCCTTGGGGCTGGGGTTAAATAAAGTGCCCCTGCTTGGGTTATGCAGGATGCAGCCACCTCAGAAGCCCTGCTCCCGCTGACCCTTTCTTAGTGGGCCAGCAGGGTCACTCACCTGCACTGCCCCATTGCCAGGAATCTCCTCCCTTTCCTTGGTGCTGTGGAAGGCCTGTCCATGACACTGGGCCAGAGGAGACATCAGGCTATCCCCCTGGGACATGAGACATCTTGTAAGAGCCTGGTGCTCCAGGGTTGAAGGGCAGGTAGTAACACCCATTGTGTGGTGCCTGGGGTAAGACAGGCAAAACATCTGCAGGGGATGGAGCAAGCCATTCTTCGCCCTCACTTGGTGGGGGCAACATGGCCTCCTCCGGAAACTGTCAAGTTCGGGCAGAAACTGGAGGAGGGCTGTGACATTGAAAGAAGGGATTTCTCGGATGTGGACGGATTTTTCTAAGGCCTTTTTGAGGTGGGGTTGAAATCATGAGCTTCCCCGGCTGTCCTTCATGATGTTAAGTGCTGAGAAAAGGGATAGAATAAAGCAGACTAGAGATTGACAAAAGCTGATGTATTCGACAAAGGGTCAGAAAAGGATTCTGTGATATGGTGACGTTGGAGTAGAAACCTAAAGGATGTCCACCAGCAAGTCATGGGGAGAGCTGGGAGAAGAGCATTCCAGAAAAAGAGAATGGCAAATGCAAAGGCCCTGAGGCAGGAGCATGATTGAGGGATACAGGAAGAATGAGGAAGCCACCATGGCTGGACCACAGAAGTGAGTGAGAGAGAAATGACCAGAGAATGAAGAGGGAGGCAGCCAGGGCCAGCTCGCAGAGGCCCTTGTAAGATTGAGGCTCATACTTGAAGTGACATGGGAGCTTTTGGAAGGTTCAGGGTAGAGAGGAGCATGATCTAACTTAGACTTTTTAAAAGAATCATAGTGATTGTTGTGTGTGTGTATGGGTGGGAAGAAAGATAGTTGGATTCTGGATACCTTTTGAAGGTAGAGCAGTAAGATTACTGAGGGGTTGGCAGTGGGGTAAGGGAGACAGAGAAGAATCAAGAGCAAGGATTCCGATGTCCACTCTTCTTGTCCAATCTGTAAGTTGTTCTGGAGGACCCTGCAGCCCAGCGGGAGGAGCTCTGGTCACATCCTGCCCACATACCTGAGGTCCTCCTCAGAGGTTCCCCACAGACCTCCTCGTGGCCTGGCCCCAGGCCTTACCTGACACCAGCTCGCCGCTGTGGCCCTGCTTGACCAGGGAGAAGACGCGCTTCTGCTGGTGGGCGCAGTCGATGCAAGCTTGCACTGCCTGCTGCAGGACGGCCGCGGGCCGCTCGGGCCCCAGGCGCTCAGGGAGCTGCTGCACCTTCTGCCTCTCCAGGTAGGGCCCCGCGTTGGCGCGCTTGTTGACATACAAGCAGACTGTGGGGACAGAGAACACAAGGCCCGCGCATTGGACCTGAGTAGGCAGGGCTACCTCCGTCGTACCCCCTTGGCCTTGGGAGCGCTGGAAAGGACAGATTCTTCCTGATCTATGAAGGAAAAGAGGCAAAAGAGTCGAACACCCGACCTTCCAGGGCTTGCTCTCAAGCGGGCCTTCTGGCAGGGAGCAGTGGCGGGGTGGGTCCCCCGGCCTATGCATATCTGAACCCATGACTATGACGGTGGCCCATGTGACTGTGTGTGTGTTTGGATGCGGGATACGCGCACTACACAGCCTTCCTACGCTCCTGCGAAGGTGCCTCCTGCTAAACACAAAGGTGGCCATTTCTTCGTTAAGTTTCTTTTTACTTTTTTTGTTGCTTCACAGATAAAATCAAAATGATCTCTTTGGTAAGCTTCTCTTGTGCATTAAAATTATTTTCTTGGCAAGATTTTTTTTCCTGTATTACTGTTTTTTAAAACTAATTTTATTGGTATACTTTTGGTATACATAATAATCACATTCATCATGGGGAATTTGTACCAGTATATGATGTAGCTTGATTCTTTTTCCCCCATTCCCCTGCCCGCCCTTCAACCTTTCTTCCCCTCCTCATCTACAAAAGCTTTGTTTCCATTTTTTCCCTTCTAGTCTCTCCCCCACTTCTTGTTCCCCTTCCCACTTGAATGGGGTTTTTTTTCCCTACTTCCCAATATCTATCATTCATTTTGGTCATTATTTATGCTATGGATAAAAATTGACACAATGCAAAAATTTACATGATACTGATCACTCCAGAGACTATACATTCAATGAAGTTCTGAAGAGAGTGCTATTTATAATCTCAGAGAAAATAAATATTCCACCCATTTAGATGAGCTCAAACTATGGTCCCCACACCTTCAAGGTCATATATCTTATAGGAAAAATATTGAGCACGTACTTTATGTACTTATAGGCTACTTATATTCTTAATTGTATTAATGCACTGTGTACATTTTTACAGGGAATTATGAAATTTAAGTAAGATAAATCTACAAAAAAAGTTACAATGTCTACAAAACCAGTTTTCCAAATACAATAAATTTAAGTAAATTGCAGGGAACCTATGGATTTTGCAATTTAAAAGAAATATCTCACAAATTCTTTTCTAGGAGAAAATTTTTCTACAAAGAAAACTGCTCACTGAGTTGGTTATCATCAGTATAACTGGCTTAGTCATTTGGGTTTAGTCAACTTTATTCTGTTCTATCACAATGACATAAACTCCCACCCCCAGCTATCTATTCCACCTATAATTTGACAATAGTTTCCTAACTGGTCAGCCTGTCTGCAGATTGACTTGGTGTAACCCCCTACTACTAGCTCAGTTGTTTTAAGCTTTATAAATAGCAATTATGTTATTATCACATTACTTTAAAAAACCTCAGATTCCTCACTGTCCATGACATCCAGCCTGATTCCTTAAGTGAAGTGTTCCTTAGCCTGCCTCCTGAGAGAAACTGCTCTGAATAAGGTAGAAAAGTTATTTCTCTCCTTTTCAGGGACATAGTAAGCACTATCTCATATCCAAGTAGAAATTTTGAAAAGATGAGATAAAAAATGAATTTTAACAACAGGTATCATATCTTCTTCCATATGTCAATGACCCTTCCTCTTAAGTTTCTGTCCTTATTCCCCACCATGTCTCACCCCATCCTCCCAGGATGGAGCTTCTTACCTCAGAAACCACTGTTGCAAAGGGGTGTTGAAGAGGGATTTTTAAGAAGACACCAAGAAGGGTTTTGGAAAGGTTAAAAATAACAATCTAGATGAAGAAACTCAGTTTCTATTCAGCAAGCCCTGTATTCTCAGGACAAGCCTGTGAGGTTGGTATCATCACCACTTTACTTAGAGGATAGTTCAAAGTCAGAATCAGTGGTGCAGCAGGAGCTGGACTCCAGTCCTGCTGAAGACAGGGCTCCTTCTCACCCACCATCCCAGAAGATAGGGAAAGTCTGTCGGGCATTATGTATGAAGAAAAACGTGACAAGAGAACACAGTTGCTGCCCTTACAGAGCTTGTGGACCGATTCAAGTGGCAGACCTACTCTCACAGGACCAAGACTGAGACTGTGAGACACCGGGGCAGAACTAGGAGAGCCCATTCTGGGACCCCTGGCAGGACAGGCCACTAGGACTTTCTGGAGGGAGGTAAAGGAAAGGAATAAGGTGACCCAGAGGGAAGCTCATTCTGGAGGGAGGAGGGGTATATGCTTAGACCCTATACCAGCCCTAGGGACTCAGGGATGAATGGTGTGCAGGATCTCAGGAGGTGGACACTCTAGGATCTTGTAAGCCATGTTAACAGGTTTGTTCTTCATCTGAGAGCAATGGAAGGTGTCACGGTTTAGATCTAAAATATTCCCCAAAAGTTGCATGTTCAGAAGTGGGGCTTTTGGATGGTCGTAGGATCATAAGGGCACCATACTCACCAGTGGGTTAGTCCATTAATGAGTTCATAACTGACTGTGCTGTTCAGCGGTGGGGACTGGATGGAGGTGGGTCACTGGAGGTGTGAACTAGGTTGTATCTTTGACCCTGGCTCCTCCTTTCTCTCTCTGCTTCCTGGCCACCATGGGCATGATCAGCTTTCCTTCACCAGGGCCTTCCACCATTCACTTTCTGCCTTGGAGCTGGTCAACCATGTACACTGAACCCACTGAAATTGTGAGCCAAGTTTCTAGCATTGGTTATTTTGTCCTAGTGAAGAAAAGGTAATTAATAACAGGAGGGGACTTCTGGGACTTAAGTGAGATGGAAGTAGGAAGTGCAGTTGTGATGAGAGAGAGAGAGAGGAAGGAGGAAGAGGAGGAGGAGGAGGAGGAGGAGGAGGAGGAGGAGAAAACTGTTGGTTGGTTGATTCTTCATTAGAGAAAGAGATTGGAACACTCACTATACTGACCGGACTGGAGGGTATTGGATAGGACTAAGAGAGATTAGGATCCTTTGGAGATCTGAAAGTGCAAAGATAGGAATGGAAACACTCAAAGTGAGCAGGTTCATATTGGTGCAATGGAAACTTGGCTCTGAAAAAGAACATCTGAGTGTTCTTTCTTGTCCAAACCCAAAGCAACCAGCTGAATCCAAAGTGCACTGAAAACCAAGTTTCAAATAATCCAACTGCAAGACAAGTACACAAAGGTTTTCTGAAACTAGAATCATCCTATCTGCTATCTAGCTATCACACTGGCCCCTTCCTTTAGCTCTTTCAGTGGCAACTCTTGAGCTCACAAAGTAACCGTGAGATGGCAGGTCACCATCACTACCTCTAGACATTGCAGCCGTGGGGTTCATTCTGCTGACCTACCTGTGAGTGCCTTGGGGGCCACCAACCTGGGTATGGTGGCTGCGTCTTGAGGGATGGAGCTGAGGTCAGGCTCTGGGGTGCTCCTCGGGGGTGAGAGGGCTAAAGGAGTCATGAGAACCCGAGACTTGAGCTGCAAAAAAGAGTCCATGTGGTCAATGAAAATCTAAAAATGCTCTCTACACCATCCCAGAATCTTGTAGACTTTAGTTAACCATTGCTACTCTACCATGCTTCCACACCTGTCTGTTGTACAGCTGTGGAAGATGAGCTTCAGATTCCAGTTCATGTTCAAGGTTTATATTTAGAGTTGCACTCAGCGGTCAGCTCTGCACCACACCCAGGAAATGACTGTGCCAGGCACTGGGTGTAGGAACATGCAGAGGTGTGGCTAGTTGAAACCCATGAGCCCTCTGGGGAGGGACAGTGCCTCATCTGTGCCCCTGTGCTGCCTAGGATCCCATAGACAAGTCTTTCCCCTGGCCCACCAGGGGACTGACCCTGAAGCTCTCCTCATTATCTTGAGCTCTCCGCTCACGCAGACCCCTGGGTCCTGCTGGAAAAGAGAGCAGGAGCCATTCCTCCAGGGGCTGACATCCTGCTCAGTGTTGACTTCCTGCAGTAGATTATCAAAACTAGCCTGCATGTGAACAGTGGTGCATTTCTGGTAGTGGGCAGTGGCTGCCTTGAAGATCTCACTAAAACCCCAAATGAGAGCCTGAAATTTGCTCTCATGGGAATGGGTGGAGATGCCGTGTCGATGGTATCAACATCCACAACATCAAGAAGTCACCCTCTGTAACAAGCTTTGCAGAGACAAGCTTGTAATCTTAGCTCTCTACCCCCAATAATGAGTATATCAGTCACTTCCTCTCATTACCACTAATCTATGTCTGCACCCCATTTCAGACAAACTACTTTAGTCTCTGGGAGTGGGACTCAAGAATCAGGAATTTTTAAAGACGCTCAAATTCTAATACATAGTTAAGGTTGAGGACCACTGCTCAACATGAGTTCTCAACTTTTACAAGAAGCCTTTCAGACTCTGATTCAGGCATGTGGGGGTAGAACCTGAGATGTGAAATTCTAGTATCTCCCGGGTGATACTGACAGTACTGGCCTCTGGCCCATATTTAAGTAGAAAGTTGTATACTCTGTTAATTTATCTATATTCTAATTTTCCTCTTATGTTTTTAGGATAGATTACAGTAATAATCATGAGGAAACAGCAATCCAACTTCTAGTTTTCCAGTTATTCCATATCTATTCATTTATTCATTCAACAAACATATATTTTGAACCTGTTTCACATCAGACACTCTTCTAGCTGCTGGGGATACAACAGGGAACAAAGCTTTCAAAAAAGAGATTTTTATCTTTGTTCTCATAGAACCGATACTCTACTGAGGAGAGACAGACAATAAACCACATAAGTACATATTAAATACAGGATGCTAGAAGTTGGTAAGGACTAATGATGAAAATAAAGAAGGAGGAAGCATGGGAAGCCCAGTTGTGGAGATGTACTTGGGATTGAAATATTTAAGGTTGAAATTTGAGTGGTTAAGGCAGTTTGGGGTGACACTGCACAAGAATTTGAAGAGGCAAATCATGCAAGTATCTAGGTGAAGAATATTCAGGCAGTGAAAACATCAAGTGCTCAGGAACTGAGGCAAGAAGATGCCTGAGAGTTTGTGCAGCTGTAAGGGGGCCAAGTGAGATTGGAAAGGTAATCGACTGAGATCAGGCAGGGCTTTGCAAGACACTGTGGCCTTTAGCTTTTTCTCTAAGCTCTTTTGAGCAGGGATACAATAGGATTTAAGCTAACATTTGAACAATCTTCTTGACTGTTGTGTTGAGAAAAGGGTTTGGGCCAGGAGGGCCACTTGTGGACTAAGGCTTGTTGAAGGTAGGGAAGGTAAAGTTGAAGATGGAGAAGATTAGGGGTTAGTTTTGGACTAAGATGCCTACTAGGAATCAAGTGGAGATGTTAAGTAGGTATTTGTATATAGTAGAGTATGGAGATGAGAGGAGTCCAAATCATAATATAATTTGGGAATCATAAATATATCGAGTTGATATTTGAGGCCATGCATATAGATGGAGAAGAGAAGGATCCAAATACTGAACCCTGCAAGACTCCAACAAAAAGAGGTTGAAGAAATAAGGAGAAACCAGCAAAAGAAACCAGGAAAGAGTATCCAGTGGAGTAGAAAGAAAACTTGAAGAGAATAGTGCTGTAGGCCTCAAATGGAAGAAGTGTTTCAAGGAGAGAATGGTTAACCATGTCAAATGTTCTGTCAGACAAGGAGACTAAGACTGACCATTAGATTTAGCAGTTTATAGAAAAAGAGTTTGTGGTTAATGAGTCACACTGAAATAAGAATAAATGTTGCACAAGGTCCCAAGTTCAATCCCTGGTACCAAAAAAAAAAAAGAAGAAGAAATCTTACTTATTACTCTCATGGAACTGACATTCTAATGGCGAGAGAGAGAGAGAGCGAGACATAAACAATAAATTAGTACATGGCACAGGATACTGGAAGGTGGTAAGAACTGATGGTGAAAATAGAGGGAAGGGACATGGGAAATGAGATTGAGGAGTTATACTTTGGATTGAAATTTTAAAAGGGAGTGGTTCCCAATTGGAATATGCTTAGGAGGTAATGGGAGGAGAAGTAATAGGATCAGGAAATAAACTCTTTCAAGGAGTTTTGACATCAAATGGAGCAGAGAATAAGCCATAGCAAGAGGGAAAATTAGGATTAAAGGATATTTTGCCCCACAATGTGATGTCATATCATATACATTAGGATGGCTAATATTAAAAAAAAACAAAGAAAATGGCTGTTATGACTTGTATCTAGATGTCCCCCCAAAGAATTCATAGGTGGAGCTTTTTGAAGGTGGTTGGATCTAGGGTGTATGAATATGAATTAAGGGTGTGTGTTTACTAAATTAGTCTACCGATTGGTTTAGCATAGTTCTGGGTGTGGATAATGTCAAGGCTCACCCTGGGTGTGGGTGGCACCAACCAATAAGCTTGTAGTTTGGATGGAATAAAAGGGAAACAGAGGGTTGCTGCTTGCTGCCTGCCCTGGCATGGACTGTTTCTCCTCTGTGATGCCCCTCTGCTTTGCTACCCTCCTTTGGAGACAGTCAACTATGGACTGAAACTTTTGCAAACTGTGAGCTAAAATAAAACTTTCCTTCTTTAACATGTGGATGTTGGGTATTTTGTCCCAGCAATGAGAAAGTAAGACAAAAGTTATTGTTTAATAAGTGCAGAGCTTCGACTCTGCAAGATGAAAACGTTCTGGAGATTGATTGCCCAATATGAGTGTGAATATACTTACCACTACTAAACTATGTGATAGATATGGTTATAATGGTTGATTTTATGTTATGTGATTTTTTAATTAAAGTTTAAAGTTTTAAAAAGATTTTTGTTTTTGAAATGGAAGCAGTAAGTTTTAATGCTGATGCAAATAATATAGTAGAGAGAAAAATTTTTTAATTTTATGAAAAGTAAAACAAAATTTCAAAATAAAATAAGAGAATAACAATAGTTAATACACTATGTGTCATTATCTTCAAAGTAGTTACTCAGAGACAAAAAAGATTCTCTCTTACAAAGAAGAAATAGATAACAGCACAAATCTTTTTAATGAACTAAGAGAAAATAGTAATATAAATGAAAGGAATTAGCATATATATTAAAATATTTTGATACTATAGAATAATTTAGGAAATTATTTTAACTTCTCCCTACTTCCTATTAATCTACCTTCTATTTTGCTCTTTATTTGTGTGTGTGTGTATATATATACACACATTTGTATTTATTTTCTCATATAAGAGAAACCATGAGATATTTAAGCTTGTTTGTCCAACTTATTTCACTTAACATTATGTTCTCAGGTTGCATCCATTCTATGAATACCTCAAGTTCATCCTTCTTTTTCGGGGGTGGTGGTACTGGGGATTGAACTGAAGACCTTGTGCTTGCAGGGCAGGCAGCGGAACCACTGAGCTAAATCCCCGGCCCAAGTTCATCCTTCTTTATGGTAAGTAGTACTTCATTGTGTATAAATACCACATTTTCTTTAACCATTCATCTGCTGATGGAAATACAGGCTGTTTCCAAGATTTAGCTGTTCTGAATTGTGCTGCTATAAATGTGGGTATGCATGTATCATTGTAATGTAATTTAACTCTTTTGGGAAGACACCTAGAAGGGGACTAGCTGGCTCAAATGGAATTTCTATTTCTTTTTTTTTTTTTTTTTTTTAGGAATCTCCACCCTGATTTTGAGAAGAAAACAGATGATACAAGGGAGTGTGAGGGGAACTGCTGGCATTAGGGCTTTGAGCAGGTAAGGAGGAGGTTGGAGCAGACAGGGAGGTGGTGGCCTCAGAGAGAAGCCTTTCATCGACTGCAACAGGAAGGAAGGCAGGACACAGAGTCTGGATGCTGGGTGGGTGGATGTGGAGGTGGCAGCTTGCAGAAGTTCCTTTCTGACAGCTTCGAATTTCCCTCTCACAGAGGAAGCAGGAGGACTGAGGAGGCAGGCATATTAATGATCCAGACAAGCGGGAAGCCTGGGGAATGGCATGGCTGCTGAGGGGACACTGCAGGGTGCTCAAATGAATTTGAAATCAGAACAGCTGATAGTGAGCCCAGTGCTGTATGAGTGCAGAATTTGAGGCTCCTGTATTAATTAGAAGCTACAATTAATAGTAGAGATTTCATCTGAGTGTAGCATTTGAAAAATGCCTAATTTTAGCAACTACAGGGATTAGATGGAGTCAGCTGGTAGCAGGGAAAGCCTTCTCTATGTACCCAACCTCCACAACCATGGGGACTTCAGAACAAAGGAAAGTGTATGCAACTACGGGAGTGCCAAGGCTTGGGTATGGTCTGAGTGTGTTCCTTGAGTGTTCATGTGCCAGGTCCACAGTGTGGCAGGACCAAGAGATTGGGCTTACTGACCTAGTTATCACTGGGCACCTCTCTCAGAAGGGATCCGTGCTGATCTCATGGACTGAGTTGGCCTCTACAGCGGCAGCTTGTTATAGAAAGAGTGAGACAGGCTCCTCCCTGCTCTCTGCCTGCCTGTCTTGCTCTGAGACTGGTCTCTCCCTCTCACATGACCTCTTGCCCCTGTGATGCCATCTGCCAGAGCTGCAGAAGCTGGTATCATGTTCTTGAACCTCCAGAACTGTAAACTAAATAAACCTCTTTCTTTGTAAAATGTGCAGCTTCAGATATATTGTCACAGCAGTTAAAAACAGACTAGCATAGGCAGTATGTGACTTTTTAACACTATGCATTTTTTTGTAAGAGAATCAATCATTGGTAGAAATACACTTTGAATTAGCATTGAGAAATCTCAATCTCATTGCTTAATATAAAGAATCAAAAAGCCTAGTATAGGAAGGGAAGTCCCCATGATGTTAGAAAAGTCCACAAACAGAGGAGCACAGGTATAAGTTGAATGCTAGTAGCTCACCCTATGGTGTGATGTGGGCCTAGTGGATCAGCATAAGCCACCTACTCCAACCAGCCAAGCTGTTCTCTGGCGGGGCATTTGTCTTTGTTGTTCTTGCCTTGGGTTTTGAGAATTTTGCTTGTCTGTTTTAATTTTTACAAAATAAAGCAAAATGCTCATTTTGTTTTTGTTTTTGTTTTTGTTTTTTTGGTACTGGGAATTGAACTCAGGACCTTGCACTTGCAAGGCAGGCACCAGAACCACTGAGCTAAATCCCCACCCCTCGTGTTGGTTTTTAATACCAGTCTTCAATAAAATGAGCCAGGGCTGCTAGGAGAAATGGATGATTCTAGGAGTGGGAATATACAAGATAAAGATAGAGTGTCTTATAATGCCAAAAAGTAGGAAAATACTAAAGAAAAATGAAAAATGATAGAACTAGGTTACAGGAACACAGATGCTAACTGAAAGACTTTGCAATGGCCAAATCTGGAACAATATGAGCAAAAATGAATAATGTAGCAATTTAGTACAATTTGAAGTACATAACAAATAACTATGAGTCCATCCTGACATAAATAAATGATTGACTAAGTAATTTATGGAGAATAGATAAGTCTCCTATGCATAAAAATTTCAACTAACTTATGTAGATACTCTACTCTCAACTAGGTGACCATAACTCTTGATTTCTTAGTGTAAGCTATGCATAGTGACTTCTTCTCAAAGAGCACAATACAAAAGTGGGGGTGTGTGACTTTTTCAAGAAGGAAATCTGACAAATGCTACCTCAACCATATGATCAAGATCAATATCAACAGTGATCTTAAGAGTATACACCTCATATGATATAGTAAAATGGTCACCTTACCTCTGAGATCTCCCCCCAAACCCATAACCCCAATCTAACATTGAGAAAAAAACCTAAAAAACTCCAAAATGCAGAGCATTCTACAAAATACCTGACCAGTTCTCAAAACTGTCTCAGCCATCAAAAATAAGGAAAAGCTATGCAACAGGCACAGCCCAGAGGTGCTGAAGGCAATACAAAGAAAAAAGGGAATGTGGTATCCTGGAGGGAATCTGGGACAGAATAGAGAAAAACTATCAAGATTTAGTTTTACAAATGCACAACAGGCATGACATTAAGCATAGACTAACTTCTGGTTTATGTTCTACAACTCAAACATTCTTTGATTACTGTAGCTCTGTTAAGAACTGAATTGTACCCCCCCTTCATATGTCAAAGCAAAGCCCTAACTCCCAAAGTGATGTGACTATATATGGATATAGGGCCTTTAAGGGGGTAATTAAGGTTAACTGAATTAATAAGGATGGGATATTAATGCAATCTTATAAGAAAAAAATAGAGGCATCAGGAGTTTGGAGGGAAAGAAAAATGGAGGGAGGGAGAGACAGACAGACACAGACAGACTGAGACCGTGCAACTCTATCTGCAAGCCAAGGAGAGAGACTTGATCAGAAACCATCCTTGTTAGCATGTTGTTCATGGATTCCCAACATCCAGAACTAAAGGAAAATAAATTTCTATTGTAACAAAAAAAAAAGAGAAAAACTGATGAAATCTGAGTAAAATATGGGTTTCACCTGATACTAAAATACTATTGTTTTACTAGTTGTGACAAACATACTATAGTGTATGTTGACCATAGGGAAATCTGACAAATTCAGAGAGGGCCAGGCAACATGAGAATTCTTATCTTTGCAACTCTTCTGCAAATTGAAAACTAGTCTAAAATAGTGAGGGATTTAAAAAATATTAATAACAGAGTCTTGCAGAACAAACTGGGTAAGAGAAAAAGAAAGAGGCTTCTTCTTGGCAGCATAAAACTGAAAGACTTGCTGCCTTGACATCCAGAAGCTAAGCTCTGGGCTCCAAACAACAATCCTGGGCAGACTCTGGCAGTCAGCACCTCCATCAAACAGGCAGGTTACTCTTCATCCAGGGTGTGGTTGCTGCCGGGGTTGTGCTTTACCTTGGTTTGTTTGTTTGTTTTTGTGAGACAGGGTCTAACTGTATATTCCATGCCAAGCTGGCCTTGATCTCACTATGTAGCCCAGGCTGGCCTCAAACTTATGGTGATTCTCCTGCCTCGGCCTCTCAAGTTCTGGGACTGCAGGTGTGCACTACCATGACCGGCCATATCTTGTTAAATTATCACAGTGAGATTACACAGAAGGGCAAAGTGTCAGTCCTTGCCAACTGAAGTTGCCACCAAAGGGGCCAGGAATATGCACTGGGAATATGGGGTCAGCTTGTCTTTCTTTTCCACTTAAAGACAGCCAATACAGGCCTGAAGAATCCATGTTCTTGCTGTCCCTCAGAAGGACTTGGTCTAAGACATTTGGCAGAGAATCACTGGGAAAAACTGGGAGATTTCTTTGCAACCTGAGAATGTAGCCAGGAGGACACTAAAGGGAAACAGATCGGTTGACATAAAATTCAATAGAAATACTTGAGTTTGGATGTAACAGAAGTACCAGCTCAACAGGGGCTAACAGATTGGCAGCAGGAGAATGGTAATCTGAGGATGGAGGATGGGGTTGGGAAGTGCGAAGAGATGCAGAGGCTGCCTGCGCATCAGCAGAGGACAAACCAACAGAGCAAACTTTTAAAATGAGATTGGGCAGCAATGGGACACACAGTGCCCTGGGATCTGGGTTCCAAGTCCAGCTCAGGCACTCACTAAAGTCCTGGGGCTCCTTACTGCCGCCCTCAGAACCTACCTTTCCTCATCTGTCAGGATGCTAATACTAGACCAAATAAAATACATTCTTCCAGGTAAGAATAAAATACAATGTCTAACGTGGTGCAAAGTGAAAATCCAAGAAATGTTCCTCAGCATTACTGTTGTTAGTATTATTATTGTTACTATTAGAAATTCCAGAAATATAAATAAGTCCCCAGTTTCTTGCAGCACTGGCAGAAGGAGAATATTGGAAGCCAATTACATTTTCTATGCGTGTCACTTGGGATCACATCTCCAAAAATCTTTACAAACCCAACCTCCTGCCTTGCACCTGGCAGGTTATCCTCTCTGAGAAACATGCTCCCAAAACAAGAAATGGTCTCTAAGTGCTGCTAATGCAGGAGCTAGCCTTTCCAAGTTACATCATTTAAATTATGTCTAAAAAGAAAAAAAAAAGATTATTCAATTAATCAGTCATTCAACCAATACTTTTGAGCACCTACTATGAATCAAGAGCTGTTCTAGATGCTGAGGACTCTGTTGTGAGCGGGGGAAGATAAAGTGCTTGTTCTCTGTGAGGTCATATTGTAGGAGGAAGAGGCAAATAAACACATAATTAAAAGTCAGATTGTGAGAAGTACTATGCTAAGAAGTAAAATATGATGATCTGACAAAAGGGGACCAGGTGTCCAGGATAGGTCAATAATGGTGACTTTGAAGTCAGGATCTGACTGGTGAGAGGTAGACTTTAAAGGCTGGAGAAAGATTTCCAGGCAAACAGTGTGGCTCATGTAAATCTCTGAAAGCTTAGCTTCCTCAAGGGACCAAGAATCCTGGGTCACTTGGAGGAACTGTGAACAAGAGGCAGAATGGTGCAAGTTGAAGTCAACTAGGGAGTCAGGGTCAGATCATAAAGGCCTTCTAAGTCCCTGTTCTGGCCTAAAAAGGCCATGTTCAAATTCTAACCCCCAGTGACTGTGAATGTTGACCTTACTTGCAAACAGTATCTTGGCAGATGTAATCAAGTTAAAACGAAGCACACTGAATTAGAAGGGGCCTGAATCCTATGACTGATGTTCCTACAAGAGATGTAAATTTGACAACTATTGTTTTAAGCCACCCAGTTTGTGATCCTTTGTTACAGCAGCCCTAGTAAACACAATCAGTTTAAGGAGTTTGGACTTCATTCTAAGAGTTACGGAATAATAGAGGACTTTATGCAGGAACACACAATCCAGATTTTGTTTATAAATGTAGCCCCAGTAAATAGAAAGGATAGGAGATGAGGGAAGGCAAAAATGGAAAAGAATTCTAATAAAGAGGTTATTACTTGGGTTGGGATGAGAGACACTAGTGGTTAAACTAGAGTAGAAGTAGGGAAATAGAAAGAACTAGTTGCGTTCAGGGTGCCCTTTAAAGGTGGGATTGAAGTGATGAGTGAAAGAAAGAACAAAATCCAGGGTAACTTTGAAGTCCATTCACAAAATCTTTGCTTTGATTTTTTTCTAATTTAGTTATAAAACATCCGCATTTGTTTACTTATTTCAACTACAGTTAACTTTGGGGAAGCAATCAGACTGGCTTCATCTCTGCTTCAAAACTTCCTTGCTCTGATACTCAAGCGATGACCCCTCAGAGCAGCAGGAAAAGTTCTGTGCAGAATTCTGGAAGACAGTATGAAGAGAAGGAGCACTGAACCCCCTGCTCGGGGAAGTGGTTGCAGAGACCTAGCAGGGTTTCAGGTGTCAACTCCACCCTCCCCACTGCACTGCAGGGAAGTGGTAAGAAGACAGGACCCAGCGATACTGATAAGAACTGTAACCCCAGTTCTGCAGCCAACTCTCATGGGACTCTGAGCAACTTGTTAAATGCCCCAAGCTTCACCCTCCAGAGCAGTTAAATGAATCAGAGTTGTTGGTTGCTCATCTGTCTCCCAACTCAGGATGTGTATATACCTTGCAGAAGACTGTTTTTGAAAATATCAGTGAATCTGAGGCAAAAAGCAGTGTCCATGCCATATTCTAAATGTTAGCTAGAAGAAATGCAAGTTCCTAATTTACTTCAGAGGTCTGTTTCTGTTAACATAGAAAAGTAGGTCATTAGAATCAATTGAAAGCAACTATAAACAATGGATAAATTCTAAGAAAAATGAAAGTTCAGAGGAGCTTAGGATATATAAAGAATAATCATGCAAAATACAAGTGAAATCTGGGCCTTGGGATTGCTTATGGAGCACAGGGCTCACCCAAAGGCCACAGCCTCAGGATGAACGAGGGAGCTGTAAATATATCCTGCTCTGTCTCCACTTCCTCATTCAAAGGAGAGGTACCTTGACACTAGGGGAGGGGGTGTGCTGATTCCCTGAGAAGATTTATCACAAGACAGGCATCACCGATTTGCAGCCTCCATTCACAGAAATTGGGTGACTAAGAAAACTTCAGGCCATGAATTTAGTTAAAAAATTACCCAACCTGGCAGTGCCCAAGATACGTGGGAAAAAAAAAACCAAACATTTCTAGAGAAAGATCTCAAGGATGTCCCAAAAATAATTTTTCAAGGCCAATAAATAGCATGGTCCAAAATTTACAAGCACACAGGGAAGCAAGGATACAAAGCATTAGCATTAACATATTTCAAATATTTCACAAATATTCAGATATTTAAATGTTCAGACTTAGATTATAAAAAAACCATTATACTATGCATAAAGACAAAGGATAAGATCAAAAGTACACTGGGGACAAGAAAGCTATAGAAATAGAAACATTTTTAAAAGATCCAAATTTAACTTTTACAAATGTAGTAACTAAAACTAAAAACTAAAAGGACAGATTTAAAAGCAAAGTAAACATAGCTAAAGAAAATTTGAAGAAACAGCCCAAATGAAGGCCAGAATTATCCAGAATGCAGCACAGAGATAAATAGATAAAATCTATGGATCAGGGATAGACACACATGGAGAATATGAAAAGTTTTAACATTAGAGTTTCACAAGGGTATTTGGAGTGGAACAGAAATTATATTTGAAGAGATAATGGCCACGAATTTTCAGAGCTGATGAAAGTTTTCAATTCACAGATTCAGGATGCCCAACAATCCTAAATGGGATGAATAAGAGGAAATCCACATGTAGACATAACTGAATAAAATTGTGTGACACAAAGGCAAAGATATTAAAACATAGAATTTATCTTCCAAAGAACATGCAAATAAGCCAGATGGGTAGCTGAGGTCTCTGCACCAATGGAACTCAGAAGTTAAATGGAATAACATCTTCAGTGCCTTACAAAAAGTAATTGACAACCTAGAATTCTACAGCCAGCAAATATTTTTTCAAAAATAAAGGTGAAATAAAGATATTTTCAAACAAACTAAGAAAGTTCATCAGTACAGGACTTGTATTAAAGTAAAGGAACTTCTAAAAGATGCACTGTATTTTAGGTAAAAGATAGGTAACTGTAGGTAGAAAGTACGATATGCAAAAATAAATTAATCTTTAAAAGTGGTAAATAATCTGGTGATCTAAATTTAAATGGCTGTATAAAACAATAATAATTATGCCTTAAGGAGCTAAAAAAGCAACAAAAAATTTCAATATGTAACAACAATAATATATCAATGGTATGTGGATGATAAAAAGTAAAAGTATCCTAAGGTACTTGTACTATATCTGAAGAAGTAAAGGTATGGTTAACTTTAAAAGACTCTAATAAGTATGCTATGATTTCTAGAAAAAGGTTCGATAAATAGAAAAGAAAAATTTAATCTATTAAAAATAACCCAAATGAAGTCCAGAAAGGCAAGTAATAGGAACTTAGAATGGGTGAGACGAATAGAAACAAAAAGTAAGATATAGATCTAACCCAATGTATTGGTAATTTCATTAAACACAAATGGAATAAATGCTTAGTTAAAACAAGATGATTGTCACACCAGATGTTATGAGGAAATGAATCCCTTAAAAAGATGTTAAAGTCCTAATCCCTAGTACCTGTGAAATACGACCTTATTTGAAAATAGGGTCTTCGTCAAACACCACGTTAGAGTGGGGCCTCATCCAGTATGACTGGTATCCTTGATCAAAGAGGAAATGTGGACTCAGAGTCAGATAGATAGAGATGAAAGATAATGAGAAGACATAATGAGAAGCCACTCATGAGCCAGGAAAAGTCCCACCTGATCAGAAACAAGGAGATCAATGGAACAGATTCTTCCCTAAAGAACTCAGAAAGAACCAATACTACCAACACCTTGATCTTGGACTTCCAGCTTCCAAAACTGAGATGATAAAAGTATCAGTTAAGTCATCCAGTTTGCCGTATTTTGTTAGAGCAGCCTGGGAGACCTTTTTCTTTTCTTTTTAAACCATGTTCTTCTCTTCTCTTTCTCCTCCTATTGTGCACTGGACATTTGTACCCTCCCACAAGCTCATATGTTGAAGCATTAACTCTCAATATGAAGGAATTTAGAGATACTTCAGGGCCTTTGGGAGGTAATTAACTTCAGATGAGCTCATTAGGGTGGGACCTCCATTATGGGATTAGTGTCCTTAAAAGAAGAGAGACCAGAGCTTGTTCTTGCTCCATCAATTGAGGGCACAATGAGAAGGTAGCCATGAGTGAGGGAGACCTCACCAGCTCTGAACCCTACTGGTCACTGGTCTTTGGTCTTCAACTTTGAACAGTGAGAAAATAAATTTCTGCATTTAAGCCCCCAAGTCTATGATATTTGGTATGGCAACCAAGATGACTAATGCATCTACACAACCAGATTTAAGGAAGGATAACTTTGTTCATGTCTCTGCCTGTCATAAACTCCCTCAAAGTTCTCTGGAGTTGCTGCAGGGGAGTAGAGTTAGGGTAAATTGTATAATTCACCACATTTAACCTCAGACTTTAGTAAAAACAAAACAAAATAAAACAAAAAACTTTCCTGTTAGAAAGGCAAATTGGTTCCAATAACAAGAAGTTTATGGCCAGTGACCTAATTCCATTCCTAGGAGTCAGCCTGCAACTGACCCTGCAACTCTCCCTGTACATGAGGGAGAGATTAAACACTAAATAGCCAAGGGGTGGGAGGCCCACAGTCCTTTGACCTTTAAGCCTGTCAAATCTAGAATCCTAATTAAATAATCTTTGCACTAAGATTTCCCTAGGAAAATAAAATCATCCAAATACAATATATTGTGGGCACCACAATGAAGTCAGAAGATGCTTGGAGGTGGGTGTGGAATGCGCCTTTCAGAGATGCAGATAGGGTGAGGTAGGATGAGAATGCTGGTGATTTCTCCCACTGTGTGAGGCCGAGATTCGCCTTGGCCTCCAGAGAGGTGCCGAAACTAGTGAGGAGGCAGGCTGGGTTTTTGCTCAGCCTGAGGTGGGGAGAATAAGCCAAGAAGGCGACAATAATGCTGCACTCCATGGGTTCCAGGAGCAAGAAGGGAATAACCATGACCTGATAAAGTGGAATTCAGAGAAAAATAGATGCATCACAAGAATCACTTAATGAAATGCTGTCCATCACACTGTGACCCCAACAATCTTTAGTAGAAACCAGACATTTAAAGGAATGCTTGGTATGACTGGGTTTCAGCAACCACAGGGTCAAAATGATCAGCCCTGTTGGTGGCAGAGGGGACATCAGCCAGGCAGCTATAGGCATCTTGTGCCCAGCAGAACTCTGAACAGTGGGGTACTGGAGCCAGCTCATATTAGTCTGTAACAGATGACTGCTGAATTTTTAGGAATATTGCAAGCTGATCATTAAACACAGCCATTGGTAAAAACTGAAGTGTATAAACTTACAGCTAGGGCCAGGGATTTAGCTCACTGGTGCGCCGCCTGCCTTGAAAGCGCAAGGGCCTGAGTATGATCCTCGGTACCAAAAAAACAAAACAAAACAAATCAAAAACTTACAGCTAGGGAGTACTAATACATACTCAAAACTCATCACTGTCTAGTTATTTTACTTTGCGTCTTTCTTGCTAAGAGAGTGGTGCTGAAGATCATCCCCCATCTCACAATCAGGCATCCAGTAGTGGGTGGCTCAAAACTGGAGAATATGTTCACCTTGGAATCTGGCAAATGCTATACATTAGGACTGGATTTATTATTGTGCTTATTTGCAGACTTAAAGTGATGGAGAAATGTTTAAAATACTGATTAAATGTAAAAAGTACATCATATCCATAGCTGTTGCATTATGAATAGCACAAAAAACTAAAATTATTTTTGTGTTTTTAGAAGCTTTTATCCAATTCACAGTCTTGGTTAACAAGATGGAAATTCACTGGCTGGAGGCATTGGAATCAGTTGTACCTACCGAAAGGAAGCAAAGGTTTGTCCTTGAAGCAGATCCTCCCTATCTCTTTAAAAAGACCTTGGTCTTTTAAGTCATAAAATGAAAGGAAATTTTCCTGTTGATCTTGGAGAATCTTTGAACCAAGTAGCTAATTCAAACTAAGAGCTATATGTTGTGTTTGAAAATGAAGAAGGCTATTTTGATGGCAGAGAGGGGCTCTTCACACACACACACACACACACACACACACACACAAAATATATATGATTTTAAGAAGCTTTTGCTTCCTGTCACAGGTGACAAGGGGGCAGTGAGGCCATAAAATGTGATGCTCTCAGAGTGGTGAGCACGCTCCAGCAAGGTGGCTGCAAGCCAAGACCGACAGCGCAATGGCCCTGGGGTGGCGGGTGGGGGGACTTCAAACACCAGAGGACCAACAGGACTGCAGCTTAGCTCTTCCTTTCTGCTTGCAACTCACTCGTGTTATCCTCACAGACTCAGAGAAGCAGTGAAACGTCACCACTGTTAACTCTGCTTGGATCTTAAAGAGGGAAGCCCGATCCGAACTTAGCACCAGAGAGAGCTCTCACAGGTACAGAGGAATGGAGGGAATAAGTGACAGATGTCACCAGCACAAACCTAGGATATACACTCAGGACAGCAAGGTATCCTCAGAATCTCCTGGAGAAGAGCCCACCAAAGGCTCAAAATCACACTATTTCAATATGATAATATTAATATCAGTATATTACTATAATATATTATTTTTTAAATCAATTTTATTGGTACATTTTAGGTATGCAATATAATGGCATTCATCATTGTATATCTGCACCTTTACATAATCTCTCTTGGTTCTTATTTTTTCCCAATTCCCCTGACCTCCCTTCAACTCCTCCATCCCTCCCTATTTACAAAAGACTTTGTTTCCATTTTTTCACTTTCTCATATTAATTCCATTCCCTTCTTTCCTTTCCCCTACCCCTCCCACCTCCCCTCTTTTCTTCCTTTTTCTTTTTCTTTTTTTTTTTTTGGTACCGGAGATTGAACTCAGGTCCTTGAGCTTGCGCAGCAGGCGGTGAAACCACTGAGCTAAATCCCTGGCCCTTTTCTTCCTATTTCACATTATCTCTTATACCTTTTACTTCTTATTTACACTTTCAGTTTCCCACAATAGAGCAACTATTCAGTATTTACACATGTGTGTCTTATTTATTTCACTTAAGAGTATTGCCTCAGTGTACATCCATTTAGCTATAAATGTTTCTAATTTCTCATTTTTTATGGCTGAGTAGTACTCCATTTTATTTTTTTAAAACCCCACATTTTCTTTATCCAGTCTCCAGTTGATGTGCAATTGGGCTGCTTCCAACTTTTAGCTATTACAAACTGTGCTGCTATGACCATGGGTACATATATATCACTGTGGTATGATTCTTTTAATTCTTTGGGGAAGATACCCAACAGGGGAAGAACTGGGTCAAATGGGACTTCCAGTCCTAGTTCTTTGAGGTATCTCCATACTGATGTCCACAGTGGTTGCACCATTCTACACTCCCACCAGCAGTGGATTAATGTTCTTTCCCCACAGCCCCGGCAACATTTGTTGTTGGTTGATTTCATGATAGCAGCCATTCTTTCTGGAGTGAGATGGAATCTCAGCATTGTTTTCATTTGCATCTCTTGAATGACCAGTGATGTTGAACATTTTTTAATATGCTTATTTACTATTTCTTAATCTTTGTCTGAGAAATGTCTGTTCATTTCAGGTACCCAGTTTTGGATTGGGTCTTTAAATTTGGGAGGTCTGATTTTTTTAAAGTACTTTGTAGATTCGAGATAGTAGACCTTTGTCTGAGGAACAGCAGGTGAAAACTTTTTCCCACATTGTGGGTTTGTCTCTTCACACTGTTAGTGGTTTCTCTTGTTGTGCAGAAGCTTTAATAAGAAAAGATCCCACTTGTGGATTGTTTGTGCTAGTTCACGGGCAACTGAGATTTGTTCATAAAATCTTTTCCTACACCAATGTCTTCAAGAGTCCTACCTAACCTCTGTTCTAGCCAGTTCAGCATTTCTATTTTAATATTTAGATCTTTAATCCATTTTGATTTTAGTTTAGTGCATGGTGAGAGATATAGGTCTAATTTTAATCTTTGGCAACTTGAAACCCAATTTTTCCAGCACCATTTATTAAAGAAGCTATCTTTCCTCCAGTGAGGGTGGTTGGCTCCTTTGTCAAAGATGAGGTGGCTCAGTGTGTCTGGAGTTCTTTCTGCATCTTCTAATCTGTTCCACTAGTTCTCAGGTCTGTTTCTTTGCCATTATTATGCTGTTTTTATCACAGTAGCTATGTAGTATAGTTTCAAGTTGAGAGTTATGATATCCCTTGCCATGTCTGTGTTGCCTAAATTGGTTTTGCTGTTCTAGGTCTCTTCTTCTTCCAAATACTATAATAATATTATCGATATTTGGAAAACTGTACTTTGTGATTTTATAACATCAATGTTATTGTTTTATTGTTCTCTATTGTTAACATATTTCCATCATGTTATAATAATAATTATCACTATCCTGTCAGAGTCCAGCTTTCTGTGCAATCTTCTCTCCCCAAATACCTTGCCTTCAAATATACAGCTAACAACTGCCAGAACTGAGACCATAAGAAATGTATTTGCAATGAAGGTAGACAAGACTCTGATGAAGGGCTTGGAGGCATTTTCTTAGTAATAAAATATAAGAGCTTATTTCACTTGGTCGGGATTTTTCTTTTTAACAACTTCATCTCCCCAACTGTGTCCCAAATAGACAAAATTGTCACATTAGTGGCCATTTGGTAAATGGAGTGAAACTGCACAATTTCCTTGCTGGATTCTCCACAATTAAAGTCCTTTCATCAATGGAAATTGTCAAAATAAAACTAGGGAGATTTAATAGGTTATTAACTTTATTTTGGCAACTAAGAACTTAAAAAAGAAATTAGCAAATCCTATCAGCACACAACATTGGCTGAAATAATGTTTTACCACCTAAAACAATAAGAAGCATATATATTTCAGAATAAAAGAACATCCTTTAAGTGGAGTCATGTTAGCTTTATGAAGACTTCCCATGGTCTTTATATTTCTCATGTCATGGTGTGGAATTATTTGAGCACACTAAGCTCATGGTTTGAGAAGCTTCTAGAAGCTCTTGGCCTGAAATAATTTCTAAAAATAATAAATTTTTAATTATAAATAATATTTAATAATAAAGATTTAATAAATAATGAATAATTTTCATGTATTTTTCTAAATATATAGGAACAGGACACATCCCCCTAAAAAAAAGAACTGTGGTCTGTTGTTCCAAGAAAAGAAATTCTGTGAGGAAATGAGAACAGGCCTGCTTGCTTTGTGCAGGGCCTCTATTGTCAGCCAACCAACCCAAAAACTTTCGTCCTGGACGGAGGTGTCTCCGTGTGTCAAGAGCACTGAAAACTGTCCTACTTTAGAAGACAGGAAAATTTTTAAATCGAGTCCATTCCATGGAACAAATTTCCATTCTTTCTGGACCCAGAAATTCTGTGTCTGTTGGTAATTTTCATTTTTGGATCACAGCCCCCAGGGGAGCAGGAAGTGGGCCAAATAGAAGAGTGAAGTTTTCAGTATGTTTCTTTAGAGCCTGGACTTGCTCCCTGGGTCTATAAACAGAAGGGCTGCCCTGCTCCAGCCCTTCAGATGCAATTCCCAGATGCCAGCAATGGCCCAGGTACTGAGAGGGTGACAGGTGCCCTAGGGCCCCTTTAGAGACACAATTCTGAAGCTGACATTCCAGGAACAAAGAAAGTTGCCTTTATTAGAAAAATAACCAGTGACAGAAGACGTCACCTCATGAGCAGCCCGAGTAAAAGCTTTTCATAAAACTAAAACCAATGACTCCAAAATAACTTTGAGTAACCAACCTTCCTTCTACTGTTTTGTACTTTCTCAAATTTGAAAGAACTGGGAGAACCAAAAGGATAAAGATTAAATTCATTATTGACTCCTCCAGAAGCTTTTTCTGCAGACCTGAAATAAGTGCCATACATTTTTCTAAATATGTGAGTATTCATTGCCAATTTACATTTTGGTGACAGTATTCAAGTCTTTAGAGGGAGCCACCAAACATGATTTCAAGAAAAATAAGTGGAAGAAAACTTCTGAAACACATTTCCCAATGCCTGAACGACTTGTACAGAACAAGATTCATACTCTTTCTCCTCTAGTAGCCCCTTTGGAACTCATCTTAGGGAACAAGCTGCCTGGGTTTGGGTTGGTTTGGGTTGACTGCAGTTACATCAGAGGCTTAATTCTCCACCCTTGAACTCTCTAAATCATTGTTAATTCCTAAAAGGCTCACAGAATTTTAGTTTTGCTCCATCTGCTTCCCTGTAGCCAAACTTGAAGTCAGGACCTTTTATAAGTGGGAAACTCTGAATGAGCACCCTGGGATTTCCTCCAGTTGGAGAGTTGAGGCTGTGCTCTTGGGAAGACTGTTCTGTGGCCTTTGATGCTACGTCATTCATTTTATGTATTAATTATTCATTTCAGTATCTTGGCAGCATTATCTGCTTTTGCTGAAGTGAATGACCAAGGAGCTGTGGAAAGTGACTTCAAAGCCGCCCTGGTAAGAACAGGAAAAAGCTCGACATGTGAAGCACTAATTGCGCGAGGTTTAATATCGTGTGTTTAGCTATGACCCCCAAATCTGCTCGCCTCACAGCCTCCCCATCTGGTGTAATTTGCTTTCTCCTCTCGCAGAAATGCACACGACCGCACGCACCATAACAATGGGACCTCGGCCACAGCTTCACCAAGAGCGACTCCTTTCCCCTGTGTTTGCCAGGCTCCTCCTCTTTCCGCACAGGCTGCCCTGGGTTCTGCCTCCCCGCGAGTCCCAGCCTAGCAGCACTTTGGAGAAGGTGGTGAGGGAGCCGTACCTTGTGTCCCCGTTTCCGCCCTCTTTTCCTTGGGATCTTCACAGCTGGTAGGGAAGCAGCAGAAGCGGAGAAAAGGCCGGGACCTGGCATCTTCCTAGGCGTGGAGTGGAGCGGCGGCCGCCCTCGCTTCCTCCCCGCGACCCCCTGGGCCTGCATCTCGGCGGGTGCCAGTCTTACAGAGTGCTGTGACAGAGCGCTCACAGGCAGAGGAGGTGCTAAGAACGAGTCCAGACAAAAAAGAAAACACAAACAGAAGTGTTTGTTTGGTGTGCAAGGCCAACGCAGATCTGCTTTGGTGACCTGGGAGCTATCTACCCCCTACAGGAGCGAAAGCCCATCCCGGGGAGAGCCAGGCACCACCGGAGCGCTAGCAGTGCTCTTGGGCCCTGGTGTTCTTTCAAGGACAGTAACTTTCCAGGGGCTGGAGGGAGGAGGGGAAGGTACTGGCTGGGCGGAGAAGGCAGTAGATTCCTGGCTCCCAAAGACTGATGTCACCTGCAAGATGACATCTTTGTGTCTCAGCTTCTCCGTTCAACTTTGGACTATTTTGATAATTGTATTCAATAAACATAGCCATTCTTCATATTTACTCCTTTCTCTTTCAATGAATTATATATTATTATGACTTCTTTTTCCCTTGAAAGAAATTTAACAGCATAAATCAATTGTATTTAAAGTTGATGAAGTCCCTCCATCAAAATGCAGACAGATTTTTATATAGAGGTGTTCGTTTAAATCTTAGAATTGCAAAAATAAATTAGATAGAACCCAAATAAGCAATAAAGGAATCGTTAATATATCCAAAGAATTAAAAAAAATCAACCAGCTAAAAGCCATTAGCAACATTCTTAGCATAAGATGACGTTGAGTGAAAGAAACATTTCAAATTGTGCATAAGAATGATCTCAACCATGTAAAACTTTATATGATTAAAAAAAAGTGGACAGACACATGCTAAAATGTCACTCAGGAAAAAAGAGTGGGGCTGTGAGCAATTGTTCTCCACATACAATCCTACATACAGATCCCTCACATGCTGTAATAGTCTTGGCAAAGCACTGAAAATATTTCTTATGCAGAAATGCCTAGATGCTGAAGCAAGGGGCAACTGAGCATCCCTAACCCAGAGAATGTAGTGTCATGAACTCAGGGCTCAGATTTTCTGGAGTGTTAATGAATATAATGAGTGAGCAAGAGCTTTTGACTTTAATTCAAGGCTGAAGCTAGGGAATTAAAGTCATTTCTGAGGGTTAGTGAAACCTTCCAGGGAAAATGAGAGGCATTTGTTCAGAAGGTGCCAGGTGGATTTGACAAAGATTATGGAGCAGTCCACACACCCCGGCCTGGGCAACAGGCAGGAGTAGATTGCTTTCCCCAGGGAGGAAAATATTAAATAGTGGAAATTCTTAAAAAGATGACGGGGAAATTTAGAGTATCACTTACAGATTTAAAGTTACTTGTTCAGAACATTAGGCATCTTAGAGTAAATGAATTATGATCAGTGAACAGGAACTTATTAACATGCAAGCAAAAAAATTTTGTTCCCAGAATTAGAGTATTCTGCTGTGCTAATACCACAAAGATTCATTTTCAAAAAAGATGCTACCTTGGATACAAAATCAATATACAAAAAAACTATAGCATTTTTATATGCCAATAATGAACTTTCTGAGAAAGGAATCAAGAAAATAATCTCACTCACAATGCCATTATATATCTGTATCTATATCTATATCTGAGAGAATAAATCTAAATCTAACCAAGGATGTGAATGAAAAGCCTTCATACAGAAAATATAAAGAATTTTAAACAACCCTGCTAGGAATCTAATAAAAAATGGACAAATCATTTGAAAAGACAATTTTCAAAAAAAATAAAAATAACCAATGAATATATTTTAAATTGTTCAATATCTTTAGCCAGCAGGAAAATGCAAATCAAAACTACAATGAGATTCCTTCTCACTCCAGTTAGAATGGCTATTTAGAAAGAAAGAAAAGAGAAAAGAAAAGGAAAGAAAGAAAAACAGGAAAACAGACAAGTGTTATTGGTGGAAATGTAAATTAGTATAGCCATTATGGAAGACAGTACGGATCTTCCTCAAAAAACTAAAAGCAGAACTGTATGATGCAGCTGTCCCACTTCTGGGTAAATGTCCGAAGGAGTAATTAAGTCAGCACACAAAAGAGATAACCGCACTCCCACATTTGTTGCAGCACTGTTAACAGCCAAGCTATAGAATCAGCCTAGGTGCCTGTCAGCAGATAATGAATAAATAAAAGAAATGTGATATATATGTATTATGCAGCCATAAAAGAGAATGAAACCCTGTCATCTGTGGGAAAATGGATGGAACTGGAGGTCATCATGCTAAGCAAAATCATCCATATACAGAAAGCCAAGTATTACGTGTTTTCTCTCATATGCAAAAATAAACAAAAAGATGACTTGAAAGTAGAAGAAGGACTACTAGGGGCTGGGGGAAAAAAAACTAGAGGAGAAGTAGAGAAAGGGAGAGAGGGAAAGGATAGAAGGGAAAGCAGACAATGCATAACATGTGCCTGTATGGAAATATCACAGTAGATCCTATCAATTTGTACAACTAGTAAGTGTTAATAATTATAATGAAAAAATTTTAAAAGATTGCCCAAAATATTGAAGAACCAACAGAATTTATCAATAAAATTTTTGTTATGTGAAACTTGGTCTGAATTCCATCTTGATCTATTGTTACCAAGTTTCTCTGTCTTCATTATTACTTTACCTTTAAATATTGTGCAAACAGGAATTTTTCCTAGTGTAAAATATGTTTCTTTGCCTTTGTGGTTTGTCTGTAGTGAGTAGGTCAGCACCATATCCACGAATACTAACATAAAAAGTAAAAGAGAGAGTTGGGGATGCAGCTCAGTGGCACCACACCTGCCTGGCAACCACAAGGTCCTGAGTTCGATTCCTGATAACAGAAAAATGAAAGAAGAAACAATGAAAGAAAGGAAGAAAGAAAGAAAGAAAGAAAGAAAGAAAGAAAGAAAGAAAAGGGAAAGAGGAAGGAAAGGAGAAAGAAAGAGAAAGAAAATTCATTATCAGAGAAGGTGCTGAACCTCTTCCCTCTATTGTGAGAATGAGTGCTCTCAAAGGGTGAATTGGCTGAGTTCCCTTACAGTGAGTTGTAATGCTTTGCTGAGATGCTTCCTTGTAAAAGTCTTCTTATACATTTTGAAAAGTAAAGAAAGACCAGCAAATTAATCAACATAGCATCCTAAGAATTTTTAAACACAATATCCATTATATTTCTATGTACCAGTATCAAATCACAGAAAATGAAATTTAAATGTCAACAAAACATCCAATATAAGTAAAACTAACCAAAATTTTTATCATCTAAAATTAAACTTAATTTTCTAAAAAAATTTCATTATGTCAAAAATCTTTCAGGAGGGGACGGATCGGCTTTTACACTGGATTTTTTTGATTCCCCACTTCTCTTTCCCTCGTATGAGTAAAAGCCAGGATCTGCACTGCTTTCCTCTTCCTGCCTTCATAGCCATCCGTCTTGGAGATTGCAACGGTCCTTTCGGGGTAAATAAATCCGATAAACGAATTTCATGCTAATGGAGCCACAGTAAACTGTTTCCAGTAGGGTGCTCAGTACCTCAGCGGCTGGGGATACGGTGGAGACAGGAAGTCTCCCGCAGTCTCCCTGACTCACCACACCGGACTACTGTGTGTTTCATCCCCTGAGCGGGAATCTGCTCTTTATTACAAACATGGACAGTTATAAGTAATGGGATTGCTCAAGTGAGTAAGAAGGAAGTTACTTTAACAATTGGGGATTCTCTAAGTATCTCCTCAGAATAATTTAAAGAGTCTGAGACCAGGATGCAGCACGTTGCTGGACCTCTTGCCTAGAATGCATGGGTTCAATCCCCAGTAATGGGGAAGAAAAAAGTGTGGGGAAGCACTTATAAAGTGGTTCTTTCAACAACAAACTTACACATTCTGGAAAAGGTGGTGGCAAAAGTGCAGGTACCCCAAAGCCCCCCTTTCTAACACTAAGGCATGAACAAAAAAAGTAAAATTGACAAAGATAAATACTGAAAATACTGGAATGCAGTGAAAACAAGGCAGGTGGGATTTTGTCAAGGAGAACATCACTATGGAAGCACAATGAAATTGTTTCATAAGTTTAAAGAAAGCTTCAAACTAATAGAAAAAAATACTCAAATGTAAGAGGCTGCCTTAAGAAAAATTTTTAAACAAACATGAATTCTAATGAAAATATTGTATTCAGAAACAAAGAAAAAATATACAAGCATTTAGGCAGAACCAACAGATCATTTACAGTGGGAAAAAGAAGCAGGCTAGTTCTCTTCAGCCCCATGAGCTAGAAGATAATTCAGTCACAAACCCCCCTCTTTTCAGGTGTTTATATTTGCCACACTTCTGCTCATCACAGGGCCTTTGCATATGCAGCTGTATTTGCCTGGAATGCCCTTTGTTTCCCTCTGGTTTATTTCTCTCATTCTTCATCAGTTAGCTCAGGCAAGCTTGCCATGACCTCTCATTAGGGTTTCCTATGCTCAGAGTTACTCAGCTGTGATACAAACTTGCTGTAGTACATGACACTTGGACAAAAGAAGCCAATGGTAACATGCTGTGTCCTTTACCTAGGATTCATCTGTCATCTGCCAGCACCCATGACACTATTTGGTTGCAGAGAGGATGAAATCCCAGCTGTTCCCAGCTCTCCATACAGATTTAATTAAAAGTAGAAGGATTCAAATGAAGACAATATAATATTTTTTAGACGTTCTACTTAGGCGCTTAAGACTTGAAATAAACAGAAAAGATCATGCTATTATTGGACAGATGAATATTTCTAAAACATAATTTTTACCTAAACTATTTTATAAATTAAATGCAATCACACTAAAAGTTCAAACTAACTTTAGGAAGAGAATGGGCAGAACAAAAGCAAGTGAGGGAGATTTGCTTGCTGATGACTAAAATGTATTGTAAAACCACACCAATGACAGCAGTATAGTACAGGAGTAGCCACTGGGTCAATGAAAAAGTCGGTTCAGAAATTAGATATATAACAAATTCCCATTTAAAAAAATTGGAAACATTTCATATCGACATAGGCTTCTAGCAGAGTTGAGGGAAGTGAGACAGGAAAGTCACGAGGTACATCAGAGGTGGGCTTGCACCATGCACAGCAGAACAAGCTAAAATGCACAGGGCTGCTGATAAAAAGCTCCGAGCAGGTATGCTTCCGGGCTTGTGGACAACACGGGGGTCAACCAGACTGGAAACAGGGTCACTGCTTCCTGCTGTTCCTAAAAGCACTGTGAGTAGGTATGACCACATCTCTGGTCTCCACTGGATTCTAAATTCTTTCCTTCTATTAACTGCGTGGAATGGGCCCCTGACCCTGGTGTATTGGTCTTTCTCACTGTCCTTTCAAAGCACAACTGGACTCTTATGTTCTGGGTGCCATAATGAATTCCCTGTGTGCCAATGTCTTCAGTGTACTCTGCCAGAAACCTGATGCACACCTAATCCCACTGCTCTGCAGGCTAT